CGGGCACGGCCTGGATGGAGAGCGGCGCTGGGAGCGATGCCCAGGGCTCACCTTCCCCTCCCCCCGGAGAAGCGCGCTTCAAAATGGTTTTGCAGGCGAGGCTGGCCAGGCTGCGCTCGGTGCAGGGCTTCCAAGAGCAGTGCCTGGGTTGGTTTCCGTATATTCTTTGGCTTTTAATAGCTAGCTGAGGGAAAAAAAGAAAGCATTATTGTTTTCTTTCTTTCCTTCTCTCATTGCCTATTCTAAATTTGACTCCAAAGTTTAAGCAGTTGAATTGGCTAATTCTGAATACAGTCTATTGAGAGACCAGACACAGCAGTATATCCCTGTATAGCAATAGATACAATGTGCTGAATTGGCAGTCTAATTATAAATGTGGCATTTGGACCTCCTTTCAGACCCAGTGCCACCTTACCTTATGAGGGAACTTCAACTACAGCAACTGTTCAAAACAAAATGCCATTACAGGATCAGCTTCACCCAACACTGGAACCAGCCAGGGGATTGTTTTACAAACAGCCTTTCTCACTTAACACAAGAATGTATTATAAGGAAAAGTTATGGATAGTGCAGAGTCTGAAGAAAACGCGTATGTAGTTTCTGCCAGGTGTCGAGCTACTTCAAACTGCAGCATACTCCAAATGACCTCATTATTTTCTTTTAAATGTACTCACTATAAATAATTATTCCTTAGTTTTACTAGAATGAGCTGCTAGGTACGCTTGCTGTTTATATTCCAAGCGTAGTGTGCATGTAACGTCATGAGCACAAAAACCCACGAAATATCCTGGCTCAAAACAAAAACCTGCAATAAGATCTTGCCAAAGAATCATGGGGTGCTGAAAAAAAGTTTTTTAAAGGGTCCTTTCCAGGGAACTGTTCGTATTTAATGGCAGGCTGCATGCACATATCTCACACTCATTCTTATTATTTACTTTATGGTATTATAATGGCTTAATTAAATGAGTGGGCACAAGCACGTCAATAAAACAAGTCAAGTCAAGTCGAAGTCTCAAAACAGGTTTCAAAATTGCTCCATTACACGAATACAGAAAGGGAAATTCGTTAATTTTTGGACTTCAAACTCTGTTTGAGGACTGGGTAGAACTGTTCTCCTGTCCTCACGATCAGCACTGAAGATGGAACTGGCAAAAAAATGTTGAAGTGAGGGTAAAAGAAAGCAGCAGGAACAAAGTGCCGCTCGTGTGCCGAAGGCTATTTAAATTTGCTTAATAAACATATACCTTATCTACGAACAGCAGGCGAAGATATATGACTTTATCACAGAAAGTTTCACCTCTCTGTTTTTGGGAAACACCCCTAGGACAGCACTAATCTGCCGTCCCCAGGCTCCCACCGGGCCGCCTTTCCCTGCGGCCCCCCTCCTCCCCCACGCCGGCCACTCAGACGCGACACTAATTGTCCTTTCCCGGTGCCACTTTCAGTCCTTCCCGTGCTTTCCCAAACAACAGAACCGCAGCGAAGCCCTCGGCGGGGCGGCCCGCAGGCAGCGAAGCGCCCGGCCGGACAGGAGCGGTGCCCGCCGTGACCTCCGGGCCCCGCCGCTCGGCTCGGGCCGCGCCCGCCGCTGCCGGCCCGGGAACGCGCTCCGGGGGCTCGGCACGCCTGGAAGTACCTGCTCGCATCGCGCCTGCCCGCTCTCCCTCTCTGTCCCCTGGCTACACCCGGCCGCGACCCCGCGCCGGTACACGCGTGCATGCATTACACGAGCGGGCAGCGCCGGTGCCCGCTGCTCCCCGGAGCAGGGCAAGCCGCAGAGGCGCGCTCATTAGCTCCCACTGATGATTCCTTTCAGGATCATGAATGGAACAATTGTCAAAAACTGCGGGAAAAAAAACAAGCCCCGAGACTATTATATACAGACGCAGCTTGTGTGCGCGCATGTGACAGTTGCAGGCAACCCAGATTTGGCCATAAACTCTTCGGCGTTATCCGAGATAAAACATCAAATTGCTTGTACGGTAAAAGAGGCTTCTTATCCCCAATCCAAAGAAATAAACAGCTTCCAAGGTAGTGAAACCCAGGAAAAGAACAAACTCTCCACAAGACACACCTTGCCTCACTCGTATCCGGCAGCACCGCCTGCAAACAGCTGCGCTAGCTTGTTGCAACTGCCACTATTTTATTTTAAAAGAAGAATAATAGTAATAATAGTAAGTGAAATACTTCCTGAACACTTACTTTGCATTTAGTTTAGGCACTATTCTTTTTTTCAGCTCGCAAAGGAAGCCGTTTTGTCCAGGTTAGGTATTGTCTACTTATGGATCAGCCTCTGGCTAAGGGTTTATTTTAATTTATGGCTTATGCATTCTTTTAAGGTCGATTTGCATGACCTCCGGCAAAGAGCTAAGGCAGCAAGAAATCCCAGGTCGACTGTTGCCACAAAGCGGCACGCATCTCCCCTTCCCCGGGTGTAAACAGAGCTCTCTGATGATGGACTGCCTTCTTCCCCCCTCCCCGTGTATCACGAATTAGGGCGCGATATCGATTTTAAAGTTTTCGCTATAACTTTATCCCGGGCTCTGCCGGCAGAGATAAGGCGGCGGCGTCGGCGCTCCTCGGGACAGCGCCGCGCCGTGGCCGAGCGCGGCACGGCGGCCGCCGCTCCCGCAGCTTTGTGTGCTCCCCGCAGCCGAGCCCGGCCAACTTCAAAGCGCTCACCCACCTCAAACTTCGCGCAGAACCCACAAGCACCGCTAAACTCCCCTCGCCTTTCTCCATCCCGCGTCTCTCGGGGTTATCCGCCAGGAGAAACCCACGCGAGCACTTGGGAGCAATGACAGCAGCGCTCCGCTCTCAAAGATTTATTTCGGATTTTATTTTTCCTCTCTTTCTCCCTCTCGTGTTAGTTCCTTACGTACAATATCTTCCCGCACCATGTGTTCGCCTGCCGTGGGTGATCTTAAAATACAACGCTGATCTGTCACTACATTTTAAAATAAACTCTACTCGGGAAGGATGAGAAAGTGTTGTGATTTCAAGGTACTGGGGTCCCTTAACGTCTCGGAAACCTCGGGATTCAAACAGCCCCGGAAACTCGCACGGGGACGAGACTATAACTACTTTTCCCTAAAGAGAAGAGAGGGAAGAAAAAAAGAAAAAAAAAAAAGGAAGAAAAAAGAAACACAACACCCTCGTGATATCAAAGTAAATAATCGTGCAGGGGGAGGCGGGGGAAGGGGTGAATTCAGCAATGTTAAAAGCTAAACAACAGATCTATCTCCGGACGCTGCTGCTTCACTCAATTGCAACTAATAACCCATTAAAGACAGCGCAGGGGGAACTGAATTCTCTCCTGCAAAGCGACATAAATCCAGCGAAAACCCATTAAACCACCGCCACCGCCACCAAGCCACGCAGCACTACACACCACAGCAAACAACAGGTATACAACACAATAGGGCTGGTTTTCCTGGTTACCTCCTCGGGATCCAGTGTGGCACAAAGCACTGGGAGAGCCTCCTTTTTTTTTTTTTTTGCAACGCGCTTCGGTAATTTTCATTAAAAAGAAAAAAATTAAAAAAATAAAAAAAGAGGGAAGGAGGTGAAGGGGGGGAGGGAGGGGGGAGGAATAAATGGGTAGTAATTCGGTAAAATAAAATAAAATAAATGAACTAGAGTCTGCTGGTGTTTCTCCGGGCCATGGATGTGCAGGATCCCGATCGTTAGAAGTTTGCGGATGGGTTGCCTGGAGATTTGGTTACAATCAGGTTCATTTTTTTTTTTTTCCTCCTGAAACAAGTGAAGGCGATGGTTACTGCTGTCAATCTTGGCAATCAATGTGAGCGGCCATGTCGTAAGTATTCAAAGCATTTCCCGTCGTGCAACATCAGAAAGTGAGTGGCCAGGGCATTGATCTGAGGAAGGCAAAAGGAGGCAGGGCTCCCCCGCCCAGACAGCACAGGCAAGATGAGACAACACAGGGAGAGAGAGGAGGGAGAGGGGAAGGGAGGGAGAGACACACACACACAGAGAGAGAGAGAGAGAGAGAGAGAGAGAGAGAGAGAGAGGCTGGGAGCGAGCGGGGAGAGCAACAACTGCGGAGAAAGTGAGCACAAAACAGAAAGTGAAATCGGCGCGGGCTGCCAGCCGCATCCCCGCGCAGCTATCACCACTCACAGGGCCATTAGACACATGAAACCCTACACCGCTCCGCTCCCGCTAATGACCACTGATTGCCCGGAGTGGTGAGGAAAGGTACTAGAAAGTTACCGGGGAGGGGGTGCGAGGGCGGGGCGGGGGCCGGAAAGGGAGGAGGGGCAGCGGGGGGGTCCCGGGGGAGCCGGGGCGGCGCGGGGGGGCGGTCGTGTCACTCGGGGCCGGCCCGCCCTCCGCCCGCCTCCCGCCGCCGCTAACGGGGGACACGCACGGCCGGGAGAGCCCCGCCGGCCCGCGGGATGCGCCGGGAAAATAAAATTACGAGAAAAAAAAAAAAAATCTGGAGAAAAGAGGATGTGCAGGAGGAGGGAAGGGCTGGCGGCGTGGGGAGGGAGCGGGCACGACGAGAGGGAAGCACTCAGCGAGCGCTTAGTGACAGCTGATAAATGGGTCTCTGAAGAGCCCGAGCCCACGGCACGGCCGGGAGGGGAAAAAAAATTACAAAAAAAATTTTTAAAGAGGGGCGGGGGGAGAGATGAAATGGAAAGTATAAATTACACCAGAGATGGGAGTCCAGCTCCAGAGACCCCGGGGAGAAAAGGCACTCAGAGTCCACAAACTATTTAGTGATGGATTCAGCAGAAAGGTGAAGAGTGCAGTGAAAAGGGAAAGACAGGTACGGCCGGAGAGAAAAAACTGATTTAGGACGGACTCGAGCTGAAGTTGGGATTCTCGTGGCGACGACGAGAAATTTTAGCAGCGGCAATATATAAATATCCCTCTCTCTGCCTACCAAAAGGCAACAGATAAGGACTGGAATATCAGCTTGAATACCAATTTAGGAACTCACGCTCTCTTGGAAGTGCTAATTGGGGATGGGGGGGGGGGGGTTGGAAGATCTGGGAGAAAGAAGGGAAAAACTATAAGGAGCTGAGGAGAAAATCAACCAGTGGCAGAGTACTGCAAACCCAAGAAAGTCTCCCTGCTGTATTTTTGCATTCCAAAGGTAAACATAAAAGAGTCTTTCAAACTGTCAGGGGCCCGCAGATCAGGTGGGCAAACAGCGCTGCAGAGTGAACGTCTCCCTCTTTTGATATTATTCACACCTAGGCTAAACTGTTGTTAAGATGGGAGTGCGGAAAGCAACCTCAAGCCCACAAAATGAGAGAGAGAAGTTGTTGATTCATCTCTGTATTTTTGGCACTTTCTCCCCATTTTCCAGAAGGCGCCTGGAACAGTTAGTAACAGACAAACTTTTTAATTTTAAAATAGCTTCATAACTTATAGAGGCCAAAAAGACGAGGAGAGAGCCTGATTTCACTTTCCTTCTCTCTCAAGTAGAAATTCGCAGGCTAGGTTAGACCCAGCAGCTCACTCAGCCCCACTGCGAAGGAACCTGGCTTCGGCAGGACGTGATGAAAATTGAACATTAACGCGATGGCACAGGACAGATATGACCTGGCTCTGATTCATTTTGTTAACAAGCTGTAAAACTCGACACACTGCTGGAGGCATGCACGGTGCATCCTCTGCTATCCGAGGTGCTATCGCCCCTCTCGAGCCGAGCTCAGGGAACAGGAGTTGTAAGTCAGAACCTCTTGGAATAGCGGACCTGTTTTATACAACATTTTTGGCAATTCCACTACAATAAAAGGAGTAACCAAGTCCTATTCGGCAAGTAGCAAGCACCTTAAAATAGAACTTTATAATTATCTAGTAAAGCTTTAAAATCAAATTAGCTGATGAGGGCATAGTAGCTAATTCCCATGCATTCTTTCAATTTTAATAAAAAACACTTTAAAAGTGACATTCAGAGATAAGGGGAAATTGTATGATTGTAAATACTGAGTTTGTATTCACCTGCATTCGGCTAATTCAAAGTATTCACCTTGCTGCAGTTACCCGGTGAATGGAATTAACAGCAGTAAATAGATGCCTTTCGAGATATTACTCTGTCATTTTTAATCTTTAATTATAAGAATTCCCGTGATTAACCACTTACGCTTTCCTTGTAACACATTTAAAGCTGCTGCAAGTAAAGGAAACACCTTGACTTTTTTTGCACAACTAGTGTAGCTTTGGCACGCAAAAAGATTTTTTAAAAATTTAAATGAGCTATGTAAGAAAATAGATATAAATCAAAATACAAGGACTAATAGTCTGCCTCAGTCTGCAACTCTAGTAATTTGTTGCTGGAAGTTTTTTTCTTCCAAGAAACAGAAAGGAAAGAAGCCCTCCTCAAATGTAGCGCCTTATTAAACACGAAGCGGGAATGGGACAAGAGATAATTAAGGCATCAGATGAATCTAACCGCCCACCTAGCTCCAAATCGGGGAGCATCCCGCTGCACTCCCGAAATTCCAGCGCAGGGGATGACACTGGTTTGGGGCAGGACGCGGCAGGGATGCGGCCGCGCTGCCATGCGGAGCGCCAGGAACGCTCCCCAGCTTGTTGCTTCCTTCCCCTGTGTGATCAATTAAGTTACAGATGTAACTCGCAGCGCCGGAGAGCGGCAACTTCACGGCGGCAGGAAAAGAGGATTCCTTGGGCATTGTATGCAAATGGGAGCGGGTGTGTGTGCGCGCTGCACGGGGGTAATTGGGATGCCCTCTTTGTTTGCATAAGTGAACACCCGCCGTGCGGATCCGCACACACGTGCCGAGAAACAAGAACACGCTTTCACTTGGAGCGTTACCCCACTTTTAGAAACCGCGTTTGGGATGACTGCCCTCGCTTTGGCTCCAGGAAGGCTAAAGGCAGGCAGATGCTGAGGAGGGATGCTGACCTGCTGGGGGTGCCTGCACAGGGAAGGGACCGCAGGCGCTCCCATCAGCTCGGGCACTTACCTGGGCACAGCTGTCATGGCATTTTGCGCCGTGTGTCTCACCAAGTGCCTTAAAGTAAAGCAATGTTCAACAAGCGAGGCAACCCGTCTGTGTGCCAACTCGTACGTACCGCATCTCTAACCTGAGCAGCAAACCTGCAACTCCTGCGGAGTTGGCGGAACAGTCTCAGAAGTTTTGGATTCAAAGGGCAAGAAATTTCACTTTAAAAGTCATTCACCCACTTCTAAACTGCCCTCTCACCCCAGTTAATGCCGGACAATTAAGAGGCATGTTTATAAATTCCCTCTGCGGACACTGTCCAACAATGAAGGCTTGTTACAGGCTTGCTAAAGATGTTCAGAGAAACTTTTGCGAAATAATCAACAGCATCTGAGAAAAAGCTAAAGGAAAAGAAGTTAAAGCCTGATAATCCGATTGGGAAAAAGTTTTGTTAGACTAGATAGAAGTAAATTACTGCACGTTTCTTCAAAAGCAAACCCATCAGCTGATACGAGTTCCCCTAGAACAAGAACCTCTGGCGAACCCCTCCAAATTTAGGGGACGTTTGCATCTTGTAACACTCAAAGCTAAAGATCTGCCTGAAAACAAAACAAAAACTCTAAATTCCTTACAGCGTCATCTGCCAACAAAATGTATTGTCTTGGCAGAAAAAGGATCAAGGAGATTTTAATTTCATTTTAAACTGTGCATCATCTTGATAGCAAAGGAAAAAGCCGCAGCAACAATCTCCCCGCTCCACGCCCCCGCCGTTCAAAAAAAAAAAAAAAAAAAAAAAAAAAAAAAAAAAAAAAAAAGGAAGGGGGGGAAGAGAGAACTGGAAAAACCACATAAACTTTTACAAAGAAAATAAAAGCAAGTTCGACATGAAAACCCCTTCCTGTCTCGGAAAGTTCATTTTAAAGGTCCCTTCTGTAAATCTAAAGTGCAAACACCAGGCTAAGGTAGTGAGTGGCTGGAATTTGCATGCTGATAAGAGAAGGCTGTTGTACTTACAGTGACAGAGGGCAGGCTGCGGAAGAAAAGCTGTTTGTGTTAGCCTGAGAGTCACCCAGGGCTGCAATGAGAGGAGAAGAGAGGAGTGGGAGTGCCAAGCTGGATACACCTTCACCGCATCTCATCACATCTGCCAGCCTCTCTCTCCCTCTCTCTTTCATTTCCACATTCCCTTTGTTCCTGAAAAAAAATCTACACGTCACATCAGTCCCCAGATGCAGTCTACACCAAAGAAAAAAAAATGAATAATTCAATCAAACTGTGCATAGTCTCTAAGGCAATAAATCTATTGCACTTAAAGAAACGAAGGGTAATTACCGCTATAGAATTAGAATAAGGCCAGAGCGCGCAGGGATCCCAGGGTCTGTAAACTCCACGGTCAAATAAAGTTTCATTTATTTAATCCTTTGACAACCCCAATGTAAACTAAAGGGGAGGATCAGAACTTATTCCGGTTGGGTTTTAGAACGCTTGAAGTGAATGTTATAAAAGGAGAGCGCCCGTGGTCTGTGACAAACACAATGCAAGGGAGTAGAAGTGTTTCACTGCATCACCTCCAGGGTCCGTTCCCCCCTCCCTAATGAAGAGCAGACCACACTCCCACTTCCACCGGCTCCTGCTGCTCGCTGCAAGTGCAGCGGGGATCGCTGGCAGCCAGCAGCCGCCTTACCTGCTCCCGAGCGCCAGCACAGCCTGACAAAAACTCAGGGGAACCGGCAATTTTGTTCCACGCTCTGGCGGAGAGAAGCCTCGGGGGATTTGCACGGGCAAGGATCGCCTCGGAACGGTGCCCCCGAGCCGCGGATGTGCGCGGGGCTGAGGCGGGGGCTGCCCGCGGGGGCGGGGGAGCCCGGCGGGAGCGGAGCGCGGCGGGGCGGGCGCTGCCGGAGCGGAGCGCGGTGCGGACCGGCCGGGGCGGGCGGCAGGAGCCGCGCTGCCCCCGCTGCCCGGAGCGGGCTGTCCCTCGGCTCGGAGGTAAGCTGACTCTACATTGTGTGTGTTTGTCCCCCCCTCCGCGGGTACCCCGGGTGCCAGGGGCGCGCTGCTGCGCTAACCAGGGCGGCGGCTCGGGGCTGTGGCTCAGCTCCTCGGGCCCGAACCGAGCCGGAGCTGAACGTCGGCATCTGCCGCTTTGCACTCTCCATCACATTCTTTGCAAACTTCTCCTGAGGGGCTGGGGGAGGAGTGAGACGGAGAGGGGGAGGGGGAAACTAACCCCAGGTGAGACCGCGCTCTTGAGATGCCGCGGACCCTCGCTCCGGTGCCGCCGGGCCCTGCCCAGCCCGGGGAGGCTCCAACACCTTCCGCCGGCGCGGAGCATCGCGCACCCCCCGTCCCTGCGCCGCTGCAGCAGCGGTTTGATTTATCCGAGGCATTACCGGGACTGTTATTCCCGGGAAGGCAGAGCGGAGCGCGCTCCCGGCCGCCCGGGCCTGTCCATGTGCTTACCGCGCCACCGTGAGGCGGCCGCGGGCCCCGCACCGAGAGCTCCCGGGGCCGCCGAACGCGCCGCGGCCGCGGGGACCCCGCGCAGGGCGGACGGGGCCGTCGGGGCTCCGCCGCGGGCAGCCCTCAGCGCCCGGGGCTCCGGGACAGCGCAGGCCGCCGCCTCCCGCCCGCTCTCAGGGGCCGGAGAAAGACGGGGAGAATTTAAGGAGAATTGAGGAGATGGGAATACACAAAGCGAAAGCACCGCACTGGTGTTTTCCTTAACCCCCCTGCCCTGAGACTTTCTCCCTGCTTCGCCTGTCTCGCCGTGGCTGGGCGCTCTCGGAGGATCGGGGTGAGTAGGGCAGAGCGCATCCCGGCCCGCTCCCTGTAAATCCCCTCAGACCCCCTGCTGGAAGGCAGAGTCCCTCGGAGCGTGTGCCAGGGAGCACTGCTGGCTCCTCTGCGCATCCTCTTGCTGCCTCCTTCCCCGGCCAAAATCAGGCCACTTGCACTGCATGGGCTCTCCTGGAAGATTTTCCTTCTCAAGTCTTTTAGTCAATTTCAAGCTTGAGGCTGGGGTTTTGGTTATATTTATATTAATGGAAGGGCAATGGGAAAAAAAGAAAATAAGAAAGGCTAGGCTGTCACCACCCATGGACATTACCTGGGGTGACACTGCTAAAAGTTGTGGCAAAGGCTCAGCACGATGAGTTTCTAAGGCATGCTCCAGGCACATGAAAGCTATGGAAACGGATCTAGTGCAGGAGACAGATCCATTTATACAGGGGCACAACACATCACTTACCTCTCATGGAAAGCTTTAACCCAGAAGGGGGTTCCTCTCAGGAGGCTTTTAGCAGCTGGTGGAAAGCATCCCAGCTACTGGAAAGCATCCATCACGTCAGGGCATCCTGGCACCCAGAAAAGCGCTGACTGCACTGGCAAGGTTGATGTCCCTTAACTCTCACCTAGTAGTTGCACCGGCAGAGTAACCTCCACACCTGAATCATATGAACGCTACTAACGAGCTCCAAAAGATTGCAATTACATTCAGCTGTGATTAGGAATCACCTTAAGATTGGAATCACCTGATGCTTTTCATGCACAGAGTTAAAGCAGAAAAACAGTAGCGTCACTGTGGAAGGTGCAAATATTTCCACTGAAATGCATCTGCTCCTCTGAATCTGGGAATTTCACCTAACAGCTGGATTTGCCTTTTTGTCATCTTAATAATTTTTCACCTCCCATCTCTGTACAACAGGATGACCATAAACCACTGCTAACATACAAAAATGCAGCTCAAGATTAACAGTGATTTTAAATGCACTTTTCCAGAAGCAACCCAAAGCCAGAGATATTTAGAGCAATCATCACACTCATACTGAGGCATGCACCTGTGTAGCCTCACATATTATACCAATTTTCCCAGGTTCAGCTGGGAATAGCAGAGCTTGTCTCGGGTATGAGGGGGGACAGGAAGATGTGTATCAGGTAGAGCTGTACCTGCACACACATTAGAGGGGCTGAGAGGGGACTTGTGCTACAGGACCCCCTTTCAGCCCACAGCAGCTCTATTTTATACTCCAGCCCAGAGTAAACTCTAGGTCAGTGGTGTAAACATGAAAGCTGCTGAGGATCTTCCCCCAGAATCTCAGTGGCACAAAAGCGCTTGCTGAAACATGGTGACTGCAAACCCCTATCAGTACACCACGGTGCTTTTATTTTCTCACCGGCAGTGTCCCATTCTGACAGCACTGGAATTCAACAGAGCATGTATAGGCTTTCTATTGTAACACTGCAATTATTCCATCAGTTTATTTTTGTTTCATACAGCCACCCCTCAAATAAAAAAATAACCCCACCAGCAAAGCACAATTTTTAAAATCCATGACTGAACTATTGTGCTACAAACATATATGGAGTAAAAAAAAAAAAAAATCCAAACAAACAAAAAAGACCCAAATAAAACCTAACAAAAATATCAAAAAACAACCCTGAAGGTTAGAATAAATAAACAAAGTTGTCTTTGACCTGGAGACTGGCCCACACTGCAAATAAATGTATTACCACTTAGCCACATATACATGCCACATGAACAGAAATAAAAGGAATCCTTAAGATAGGGCAATGATTTTGTATTTTATATTATTACCACTGTGCACTTATAAATTGCATTGGTTTCAAGGTGTTCTTTTGGATTTGTGACAATATGGCCCAGTCTTGCAGGCTCATGTCACTGCCAGTTGTTTCATCCAGAAACTCAAGTCCTGTGCATGTGAAGTGCATGCTTTGTATGAAGAGACTCAAAATGATGACACTGGAAAGGATTAACAGTTTAGAAAATACCAAGACAAGAGGTTAAAATGTCTACAAAGATATTTTGGGGTAGGGAGTTGTTTCAAGCTGCCCAATTTTATTTGGAACTTGTAAATAGCATGGCATATCCCACACCATGTCCTCCCTCCTCTCCTCTTTGGGCACTTCACATTTTCTTACCCAAATATGCAGTAGTTAACTTCTTGCAACAAAGTTGACTAAGAAGCAAATCACTGTGTAAATCTTTCAAAACATGTTTAAATATAGCTTAGTAGACTGAGAATGTTGGGCAGAAACTGCTGAAAGCACTCATACTGGTAAAACTGAAATGCGACATGATCTCAACGTATTCGAACATTCAATTATATGAAACGTTTTTCCAGGGTAATATCAGATTTAAGACTGAAGTGAAGTAAATGTGATTGGACTGTTTTGGAATCTTCCTGAGACAAATGACTGAAAGATCAAGGTGTTTTATTTCCTATTTGGATCAATCATCAATAAGTCTTCTATATGAGAATCACACATTTTGAATAGAAAACACACTTTTTTAATAAGTGCAAGTTAGACTGAATAAAATTACTATGTTTGGAGAGCAAAGCTCACTATTTTTTAAGTCATTGCAATCTATATAATTATGAAGTAACTTGAATAAGACATCTTACATTGGTCCTAAATTTTTTCCTCAAGTAAAACACTCATTGATTCCAACGTGAGTGTTGCCTGAGTAATAGAGTTCCCTGTCAAACTGTTAAAATCAGCTAACTTCTAAAAGCCTGCAGATTGATGGAATAACGTGATTATACTAAAGGTATGTATTTAATATGGAAAAAAAAAATTCAAGTTACCAGGCAAAGCCTTTTTTAAATTTCCCATTTACAATAAAACAAGGCAGTAATAAGTAAATATTTTTAGGGGGTTTATAACTGTGCCTGATCATGAAGACACTTCAGCTTGTGATTTTATTTATGTAAGTCATGTCAGTGAATCAGTACTCTCATGTCACAAGCATTTGAGGTTTAGCATCTAGGA